AGCCGGGTGACAGAGGCCACACAAGTGTGCGAGGGCGGGTGGGCTCTGAGTGCTGCCAGCGCATGGTGCTTGTGGGCCGGGCACCCACCGGGGAGGGGGCACGGGGGCCAGAGAGGGGCTGCGTGACAGTGTCCCCAGGGTGGGGGGACGTCAGCACCTGCCACCTGTTCGGGTGATGTCTGCAGGGGTGATCAGCGGGGGCAGGTGCAGGGATGCGTGTGTTATAAATGCAGGGGGTGCGTGGGAAGCTGTGCGTGCAGGGGCATGTATCTGTGTGTGTGTGTGTGTGTCTGTCTGTGTCTGTGTCTGTGTGCAGGGGACTCATGCAATGTGTGCAGCAGCGTGTGCATGTCTGTGCAGGGGGCAGGTGCGGCATGTGCTATAGATGCAGGGGGTGCGTGGGAAGCCATGTGTGCAAGGGGTGTGTGTGTGAGTGTCTGCGCGTGTGTGCAGGGGACTCATGCAACGTGTGCAGCAGTGTGTGCATGTGTGTGTGTGTGTGTGTGTGTGCATGTGCAGTGGACTCATGCAATGTGTGCAGCAGAGTGTGCGTGTGTATGCAGGGAGCAGGTGCCGCGTGTGCAGGGATGTGTGTGTTATAGATGCAGGGGGTGTGTGGGAAGCCGTGCATGCAAGGGAGTGTGCGCGTGTGCAGGGGACTCGTGCAACGTGTTCTGTGGCGTGTGCACGGGTGTGTAGGGGGCAGGCGCAGCGTGTGCAGGGATGCGTGTGTTATAGATGCAGGGGGTGTGTGGGAAGCTGTGCGTGCAAGGGGTGTGTGTGTGTGTGTGCGTGTGCAAGGGACTCATGCAACGTGTTCTGCGGTGTGTGCAGGGGTGTGCAGGGGGCAGGTGCAGCGTGTGCTGGGATGCATTTGTTACAGATGCAGGGTGTGTGTGGGAAGCCGTGCGTGCATGTGTGTGTGTGTGCAGGGGACTCATGCAACATGTGCAGCAGCATGTGCATGTGCATGTGCATGTGTGCACGCATGTGCGGGGGCGGTGCGTGCCAGGCTGCGAGAGGTGCAGGGGGGGCCTGCATGTGCCAGGGCTGCACACCAGGCGCGTGGGGGCTGTGACACGTGCTGGGGGTGCGCGCCAGCGGGGGCGGGC